TTTGGAGCCAGGAGAGTTCTTGAGCGGCGATTGTCTGCAGGTGGCACCCTGAGACCCTCACCGCGAACAGCAGCCATAGCCAGCCTGTTGAGGACTTGCCAAAGCTAGGGCATCCTCTGCGCACCAACCCCTGTGGGTTCCTGCAAGTGGTTGGGCTGTGTGAAGACCCCTGACTAAGTCCTTGTGGGTGGCGGCAGCCATAGCTGCCGGTTCTTCGTCAGAGTTGTTCAGCGGCACTGAAGACTTCAACGCAGGATCTGTTCTTCGTCTGGGTGGTTGGCACTGGCCTCCGGGAGGCCATTCTCATGTGGCGCTACTAACTGGGTGTAGGGTAGAGAGTGGAGTGTGAGGTTCTGAGAGTGGCGAGACACTGGAACAAACTCTGTAACGATTTTTGGTTAATTGGCTCATCAGTGTGTATTCCAATTGTTATCCTCGCAGGTGCTTCTTGTGATTGGTTGTTGGGAGTTTGTCAAAGAGTGAGAAACACTGTGTGTCTTCTCCCCATTTGTGCATGGCTGTGCTTCCGCTCTCTACTCTGACCTGTGTGCAGTTTGGACTCTGTCTCCTCTCTCCTTTCTCTTATGCATGTATGGGCGTGTATGAGATTGTCTGTGTGTGAGTGGTGGTAAGAGTCGTCAGACAACCAAGTTCATAACAACTGCCTTTTTTTCTGTCTGGCCCGCTGGTTACCTCTTAGCTACTGGCTCACTCTTCAGGTATCCCCCGGTGCTGCTAATTGGGTTTCTTTTCTTATGTTGTTCTAATGCCCCACTGTTTCTACTAGAAATCCTCCTGCCTATTATTACCCATCCTTTTCTACTCCGTCTGACACTTCCCTACTTCCCATCTCTATCTTTCTATTCCAGTGCTGCCTAAGTTTCGTTCCCCTACTCCTATCATTTCTGAGTCGTCTTACGAGTGTCCAATACATGTGAACTATGTTTACTAGGAGGGGAGCGCATTCTCTTACTAGTCCAGATCCATAGGAGCGACCCTATCCTGTGTCACCGTGTCTGCCCAGATCCTACCATACTGTAAATGAAGGGCTCTTCCGGATATTTGTGCTATTCACCCCCTTTTTAACCATGTCTCGTCAAGCTCCTCCCGAATTCTGGTCCTCTTCTGCTTGTCCCCTTCTTTATCCATCCTTCCCAGGGTGCGCTTCCATTCCACTCTAATCTTAGCCTCCATCATTTCCTTCGCTTCCTCCCAAGATTCAATCACCATTGTTTTATTTTTTGTCCCTGCACATCGGGCTCTCCAGATTATCCATATGGTTGTTTTTCTTAATAACTCAATGATTGATCTGTCCTCGTCTAAGATTAGGCTCGCTCCATCTATTGCCGTCAAAAGGAAGAACTGTGCTGATGGGTGTTCATTGGACGATAGACTGGATCATGCTTTTTTGCACCTGTCCCAGAGGGATCTCGCATGCTGGAAACCATACTTGCAACCGCACAAGCCGCACCCGCCCTGCAGTGCTGTGCGCATACGCCCGTGCGCCACACTAGTAACAATTTCTGTTTTTCCTTTTTTTGCTGTTTTCATATATGCAGAAGGGTGTACTACCTAAGGAAGAGATCCTGTTGAGCATCAGAAATAGCCTCAAATAGGTCTCTGGAACATCAATCTTGGCCGCTGGGTGGCGATGTGATGCCCGACCTCAAGCCCTGCGCGAGTTCCTGATTGGAGTGGGAGTAGGCCCAAAAGTGCGGAATAGGGGGTGTGCCAAGGATTTTAGGAAGATAGGGATTGGTGTCCTAGGTTGGAACTAAGATCTCTAGTATCGAGATCAAAGGACAAGACAGGAAGGGGTCCAGATAGTGAGGTTAGTCCAAAAGTTAGCTCGAGGGAGGGGAGGGCAGATATGGAATGTGGCTTAGACAAGGGGAGCGGTCTGAAAAGCGAAAGGGCAACTCCAGGGCCGAGACCAGCGCCTGCTTTTACCAGGCCAAAAGATGTCTGGAAGAAAATGAGGGTCCCATTGTTCTGCCACATGGCACCTATGAGGTTTGCAGACATCCAAATCCGTGGAAGGTCTAAATCGAATGGTTTCTGGTGTAGAGTTTTTCTTCACTGTGATCCAGTAGGGAAACCCAAGGTCATGGTAAATCTCTTTCCGCTCACACTCAGAACACAGGACATATGGCCACCATGGGGCAAGCGCTGGCCCCGACACCATGACCAGTTTGTGATAAGGGAGAAGAGTGAAGTTGGGAGGGAAGTCTGTCTCTATGAGAACAAACCCGGACTTGTTAAACACTTGATATCGGGTTTCATCAGGGTATTGGTAGGAAGCACTTGAGTTCTCGAGCGTGTAACAGACGTCCGACTCGCAAACACGTTCTCTACCAGTTCGATATGGAAAGGGAGGTGGATCCTGGCGTGGATACCGTGGTGAGTTATGTATACACCAGTATCACTCGGTAACAGCAAACGGACTACCAAACTCCATGTCTCATGCATGCGCACATATCGAGCTTGATCCCTTTTGTTGACGAAAAGAAATTAAACCCACAATCACAGAAACACGGGAATTTACAAAAACAAGCTATTCAGATAAAGAAAACATTAGTTGCACAATTAGGAGTGCATCATGCAATGCAAAGCATTCATCCATAAGTTAAGCACAGAACAAGACCTAATCAAAATTCTAACCATTCACGAAAGGAACTCAAACAACATGCATGGCATTCATGACAGCTATGCAGATGTCGCATACCCTAACGGTACAGACCAGAACAAGAACTAACCTCTCTCACATAGTACAAGATAGCGCAGCGGAAGGCTAATATACCAATGATCCGAACAATCAATGTTGCAATGCAGACAAAACATAAATCATCATCATTCCATGGTGTGAAGGGGCCTGGCGCTCACACAGGAAGAATGCACCAGTCCCCAACCATACACAGACGAAGAAGAGGGGGGTTAGACGAAGAAGAGGGGAAGATGGGAATGTCGTCAACACCAAGTCTTCGGTACAGGTCCCAAATAATCCCGAAGAAGAGGGGAAGATGGGAATGTCGTCAACACCAAGTCTTCGGTACAGGTCCCAAATAATCCCTCGTCCAGTGTCTCAATCCCAATGTGGAGTCTGGATCCAAATGTCGTCAAATCCCAAAGTCACCAATCTCTCTCTCTCTAGTAGTCTGCAGATACTGAAAAGTTAGGTAGCGAGAGGGTGAGGGAGAGATGGTGGACTTAGAAGAGGAAGAAGAAGAACTATCTCTCTCTCTTAGTCCAGTACTAACCAGTGAAGGTGGCGCCTTGTTGCAGGTACATTGAAGACGAAGCTGGAGCTTTGGCGCCACAGGTAAGTCTCCCTGGCCTCCGCCAACCATCTCTCTCTCTCCAACGCTACTCTAGCTCCTACTAGCGCCCAGCGCTGAAGATTACTGCTAACGCTACTACTACTACGGCAATGCTCCTCCAGAGTGCTGCTTCCGAATCCTGAAGACTGCCTCATGCCTCCTGCACGTGAAGTGTCTGGGAAGTCCCTATGAGCTACCTCGTCCACTGTCTGCAGCCTGTAGGGCGGGCTAGTCTTATATAGTGCTGGCCCGTCCAGGAGGCTGCTCTTGACAATGCCAAAACGTGCCAGACCCTGACGTTGAAGTTCAAACAAAGGTTGTCGTGAAAACAGGCCAAAAATGGCCTGTGCTAAAGCCCTGGTCTGGTGCCTAAGTTTCAGGGCAGGTCGACTTTATGGGGGCCTGAAAATGGCCCTCGTTTTCAGGCTTTTAGGCTGAAACGACACAGGGCCTATAGGCCCTCATTTTCAGGCTTTTGGGTTGAAACGACACAGGGCCTGTAGGCCCTTGTTTTCAGGTTTTTTGGCTGAAACGACACAGGGCCTGTAGGGCCCTGAATTTCCATCTGGTCGGGCCTTGCAGGCCCGTGTGGCTGCGCAATATGCCACACCCCCCCCTCCTTGAAAGACCGAGCTTACCTGCGAGGGCGAAGCTGCCTGTCGGAGGGAGGGACCAAAGTCCGGGTGGGAGGGTCAGGTTTGTCAAGCTTCCTTAGCTAGTCTTCGTCGCTCATAGTCGATGTAGATCATCGGTGTAGATGCTTGCAAATTTGTTGGTGTCCAGAATGTCGAAGGACACGGCCTCGCTTGCTTGTGGGGCGAAGTACATGGGGACAGAGTCAATGCACCGGTCGATTGACTTGTGCGTGTGGCCGTCTGCCAACATGACTTGCGTGGACTGCGACTTCCTCTGAATGCGTGGCCGCAGGCCAGCGCATACCAAAAAATTGTGGCTCATATGGTTGCGAGTAGCTCCGCAATCGAGCAAAGCGTTGCAGGTCGCCTCTCCGATCTGAATGCATATGTACAACAATGGCGCGTCGATGTCGTCGTACCGTTGTGTCTTTAACTCGTGGTCGATCTTCGCAACGTAGTCATGAAGGTCGGCAACCTCTACTCCGGCTTCCATCAACGGAGCTGGTACTGCAGTGTGCAAGTAATCCCGCAATTATGCCTTGAGCAATTTGCAATGCGGTTTCGGCAATCGACCGGACGAGGGAAGGGGCATCCATTGGAAGTCTGTGAACGTCAACAGGTCGAGCTCCTCAAGTCTTGACCATGACGTCGGATCCCCGAGGAAAGTTGGCGGCGAAGCCACCGAATCGGTTGCCGATGGTGGTGAAACCATGCATGCAGTGGATTGTTGCACGTGGAGTGGTTGGTCCAACGGTGGGACCAAGTGGACAGCGTAATCCTCGTAAGGTTACCGAGGACTTGCGACATGCGCCTCCTCCCCAGATGTGTAGGAGGCCGCTAGCAAGGCGGCCGAATCTGGTGGAGTGAGAGGTGGAGTCGCCTCACCTCCCGCGCAACTCAGTTTCCCGAGTTGATGCGAGGTCGAACATCCTCCTTGCCTTGATCCGGGCATTGGGAGGTTTTGTGTTTGGTGCTGTTGCACCAATAGCAGCAGCCGTATCGGCTGCGGTACTCGTATTCAGCCCAGGTCAAGTTGAACTTGACCCACTGGCTGTCCGTTTCCGGCCAGCGATGCGGTTTTCTCCTTCCCTTTTCCACGAGAGTTGTTGTTGCTTCGCGGCTGGACGACGGCCACCTGATCTCCCTCACGTGATGTTGAGGTGGTTGTCGGGTCTTCCACAATGTTGTCCGGTTGGACTGCAGTGACATGCTGCGGACTCGGACCAAATTTTCCTTTCTCCACATAGGTTGGCTGCCATGCTAACTTCTCGTGTGCAACTGCCCTATTGGTCTTGATGATCTCCCTTGCCTTGTCGATGATTTCGGCGAAGGTCGTGTATTGCTCGCGATCACTAAGTGCGAGGCTCAAGGCGGCGCATGACCGGTTGTAGAACTTCCGGCGCAAATGCGAAAATGGCAACTCGAGATCGGGCGTTGCCACGATCTTTTGCCATTCTGTGAGGCAGTTGAGTGTCGGTGTGTTGCCTTGGGTCATGAAGAGGTGGTTGATGGCGAGCGTCAGAGCGTCGTCCACGATGAACCGCTTCTGCCATAGCCTCGTCAACTCTTCCCAAGAAATCTCTTTATGTAGATCGGCGACCTGGACGCCGTGGATGGTTGCCAGGTGGCTGAGCCAGATCTGGCATCCGCCCTTCGAGTTGAGGAACAGCGCGCCGATGTACGAGTGCTCGGGAACAAAAAGAATCCGAAGTTCCGTCGTAAAGCCCTCCCACTAGGGGACCAGGTCTTGATGCGTATAATCATCGAACTTTTCAATGCGGAATGTCGGCATCTTGTAGTGTTGCGCATTGGTGTTGCCATCCTTGTTGGGCAGCTGGTGCAATTGTTGAACGTCAGTCTTCAAGGTGTCCAACTGCTTGCTGATGGTGGCTGGTGCAGCGAAGGTGCTGATGTCGTCGAGCATTGCGACTATGTGGTCAACTCGTTCCTCCAATTGGCGGGTAGAGGGTGCACTGCTGGGTTCGCCAGCATCTGGTCTTGGTGCAACTTGCTCCAAGTCCTGTACACGGGAATCAAGTGCCCGTGTAGCATCCTCGTGCAGATCCTTATGGTTCCGCACCGCCTGTCGGAGATTCGGCAGCTCGGAGTGCAGGTGGTTACAAGTGTAAACCAACCGGGTCACGAGTTTGGCGAGAAATTCCTTGTGCTCCGCTTTGGTGTCGCGTCTTCGTGGTTCTCGGATGGTTCAAAATGCCAGAACTTGAGCTTTTCGATGTTGGCGGCTTCGTGACGCTGTAGCAGATCCTGGGCCTCCTTGCAGCGGACCTGGGCATATGCGTCATCTTCGACCTGAAGTCGCTGCTTTTCAGCTACTGCCACCGCTTCAGCCTGTAGGCAGGCAGCCTTGGCTGCCGCCTGACGCTGTTCCTCAGCCTCGATCAGTACGAGCTGAGCTTGGAACCGCTGTCGGTACTCGACAATGGACTCATTGGCCAGTTGGCCTGGCAGGCCCAGAACTGAGACCATCATGGTGGCGGGCCACTGCTGACGTGGCACTGCTGATGTGTCTGTCCTAGGGGTAGCCCGGGCCTGTTATTCGCAGTTAGGGTAGGCTGTAGGGAATTTTGTTAGTACCGGGCCTGCATTTTTCCCGAATTTGCAGATATGTCCCTCACGAATTTCCCTCGCAGGTAGGTCTCTCGGTTAGCCCTCAGCCAAACAAAATTACAAATCTATCCTACCTATAGTGCAGCCTCGACAGAGAGAGGCTACAGGCGACCAGAAAACAGCAAGTCATTGCAGGATAGCCACGCTGGTAGGAGAACAAAAAATCGCGCAAAAATCTGTTGTGGTTTCAAAGATTATGCTGTTCGCGAATGGAAAATTGGAACAACCGTAGTCAATCGGTCAGTCACACTCGTCACACTATGCTCTCCTTAGATTAAACCCCAGTTGGAACACGAAATTCAGTATTCATTCGTAAGGAGTCCACTCCAACGATAGAAGTACAGAGACATGGATACAAAAAATAGAACGATGGATGCATGGACAGACACAAACATGGGTAGAACGAAATATAGAATCAAAGGTAGGTGGAAGACCGGATAGACAGATGCGAAGGGAGAGAGAGAGAGAGAGAGAGAGAGAGAGAGAGAGAGAGAGAGAGAGAGAGAGAGAGAGAGAGAGAGAGAGAGAGAGAGAGAGAGAGA